CACACACACACACACACATCCCATATTCCCATATTACAGCTGTGACCCCAGGTTTTTTGGTGTTTTATTATTTGGGGTTTTTATCTTTGTCTTTTTTTTTTTTTTTTCCTTTGTCTTGGAGACAGTGTCCTTGTGCAGTTCCGGCAGGCCTTGAGCTCACTTTGTAGCCCAGGCTATTTTCCAACTCACAAGGATCGTCCTCCTGCCTCTAGGTCTCTGAGTGCTGGGATCATATGCACCTGCCACACCAGGCTCCAATATTTTCTTTTCTTTTCTTTTTTTTATGGTACAGGGTGCATGTGCCACTGAGCTATCGCCCCAGTCCCTATCCAGTGTTTTCTTAAGATGGATAATTTAAGCATTTTTTGAATTCTCCCAATCTGTTCCTTTGTCTTAGGATCAGGTGTCGGGTTCCTGCTATTCCCCTTCTTTAAGCCAGTGTAAGGATTTTCAGTGTTTCTGAGAGATTTTGAGTGTGAAGGATCTAGAAAGTTTAAATTTAACCCAGGGAATGCTCATGTGGATCATCTTGGGTGACTTGCACTGGGCCCAGGAAGTTGCAGTGTTCTTATTTTATTTTATTTTAGGGAAGGGTCTATAGGGTGTTCAGGCTCTCACTACTAGATTGGGCTCATAGTGGTCTGCCTGTTTACAGCCTCCCAAGAGCTGGGATTATAGGTGTGCACCTCCATGCCCAGTTTTAATCACCATCTCAGCATGCCCCCAGGGGCAGGGCTGACATGGCAGGCCTGGGGATTGAACCCCGGTCCCTGTACCTGCTTGCAGGTGCTTTAATTCACTGAGCTATTTGGCTGGCCCCTAGACTTTTTTCTAACTTACAAATTATAGTATTTATTGTAAGATCACTATAATCAATTTATGTAGCTACAAATTGATAAATTACCATGTAATCAATACAAGCAAAATAAGAAAGTGCCATCCCTTTTCTTCTAAAGCAAACATAGATGCTTACAAAGATTAAGGGTGTGTCATTGGGTTTTGACAGTTTCTGAATATGCACTATGACTGGAGCAGTGGCCCTTGGAAAAGAGCTCAGCAGCTGAGTGTGGGAAAGAGGGGAAAATTTTATTGTGTCTGTGATCAGAACGACTAGAGCTACCTCTGGCCATAGCGCAATGCTCCTTGCAACACTCTGTGTGGAAAATAGTGTCTTTTTTTGTTTGTTTCTTTGAAACAGGATATCCCTATGTAGCCCAGGCTGGCCTCAAACTCAGAACAATCCTCCTGCCTCAGCCTCCAGAGTGCTGGGGTCACAGGCATCCACCACCATGGCTGGCTCATCCCTATTTTATTTTATTTTATTTTATTGGTACTGGGAACCGAACCCAGGACTTTGCACTTGCCAGGCAGGTGCTTATGCCACTGGGCTCTCTCCTGGCCCTTCATCCCCCTTTTAATAAGGAAAAAGAGAAACTGCTTCTCCAAGACTACATCACTGGTACAAGTCAGGGCTGAGTTTTTCAAGACAGTTTTTCTCAATAGCAGAAGATATAACCACAGCTCAGAGGTCATATTTTCTTCCCTCCTCGCTCCCCTTTTTCTTTCTTTCTTTCTTTCTTTCTTTCTTTCTTTCTTTCTTTCTTTCTGTCCACCTTTTTCATCCTTTTTAAAAAATTTTATTAGTACATGTTTGCACTATATAATGATTACATTTACTGTGGTACCTTTTTCTTCTAAGTAAGTACCTTTGAGCTGCTTCAGTCATCATTTTCTTTTTTGGTTTGGGTTTTTGTTGTACCAGGGATTGAACTCAGGACTTCACGCTTGCCAGGCAAGCAATTTATTCCACTGAGCTATCTTCTTGGCCCTGATGTTTCTTTATTTTGTTTTGTTTTTAATGTATTTAGTACAGGGTCTACAGAGTCTTACTACACAGGTCAGACTCGAAGTGATCCTCCTGTTTTCAGCCTCCCAAGCACTGGGATTATAGGTGTGCGCCATCATGCCCAGTCTCAATCACCATCTCAGCAAGCCCCGGGGGCCGGACTGGCACAGCATGCCGGGGATCAAATACCGGTCCTGAACTCTGCCTAAGTAGGTGCTTTAATCCACTGGGCTATCTGGCCAGCCCTCTGCCTTAGTTTGTTTTTGAGATAGGATCTTGCTATGTAGTTCAGGCTGATGTTTAATTTCACTATGTAGCTTAGGTTGGCCTTGAACTCATGGTTATCTTCTTGCCTCGGCCTGTGTGCTAGGATTACTGGACTTCATCACCACCCTGCAATATCTTTGGTTTTTAAAGAAAAGGAATGAATAAATCAGCAGGGAAAAATTTAAATAAGATTACAATTTCACAATGTTGTATACCATGAGAACTTTGAAAATGACAAAATCATTAATTAGTGCTAGAGCATAAATTTCTGTTTTTATTATTTATCATAAAATGAAGCCAGAAAAAAAATAAAATAAAATGAAGCCGGGGAGATGGCTCAGTGGAATAAGCACTTCCCAGGTAAGTGCGAGGGCCTGAGTTCAATCCGCGGTTCCACCAAAAACAAAACAAAACAAAAAATCCAGGGGCCAGGGAGATGACTCAGTGGAATAAGCACTTTCTTGGCAAAGGCCTGAGTTCAATCCCCGGTTTCTGAAAAAAAAAAAAAAAACAACAAAAAACAAAAAACACATTAGGAGCCAGGGAGATGGCTCAGTAGAATAAGTGCTTGCCTGGCAAGTACAGGGTCCTGTGTTCAATCCCCGGTACCCCAAAAACAAAAAAGCAAATAAAATGAAAGCCTCTGAATCTACCACCCAAACTAAGGATGCTAAAAATCAAATCTACTCATGGGTTCATTGGCTGTCCCTGCCTATTTTCTTATCCTGTCTCCAAGTAATCATTATCCTAAACTTTCTGTCCCTTCTTCCCCTGCTCTTTCTTTGGGGTTTTCCCACATGTAAATTAGGTTGTAAATTTATTTATTTATTTATTTATTTATTTATTTTTGAGATAGAGTCTCTTTCACTCTCTAAGTTCCTCAGGCCAGGCTCAAACTTGTGATCCTTCTGCCTCAGCCTTCCAGAGTGCTGGAATCACAGGTCTACACGACCAAAAGCTTGTTCTTCATTCATTTTCTACTGCTGTATAATTACTCCTTTGCATGTATTTTCCACATTCATCTCCCGTCGGTGGCAATTGAGTGTCTCTGGTGCAGGGCTAAATGTGGTGAACCACGTTTCTCCCGACAGTCTGTACACACTCTCCTGGCACACGACTGCAGAACTTCTGCGGCTGTGCCCTAGGAATGGACTTGCAGGGTCTGAGAGGTGCACTTGCGTGAGATGGGACTCATTTTCCATGCTCTAGAGGAGAATGCGCCGTGCAACCAGCCACAGCGGGATGAGATACGGTGGGAAGGGATGGCCACAGGTCTTTGGTGGAAAGTGTACACCTATTCCAAATTCACCCCAGTGATCTCTGATTTCTGTTGATTTTGTTTTCAGCATCAGGGATTGAACCTAGCACCATTTAAGGAGAGTGTCTCACCCAGAAGTCAAATCCCTTGTACCAACAGCCTGAGCAATTTTCCCTCTGGAAGTTTTAGTTTCCACAACAGTAAAATGGGAGTGACAATACCTGACTCAGGTCCAGGGAGGTGGCTCAGTAGAATAAGTGCTTCCCTGGCAAGCTGACTTCAATCCCTGGTTCCGCAAAAAAAAAAAAAACAAACAAAACCTGACTCACTTCATAGATGAGTATGAGTGGAAGGCTTAAATAACACTATGTAAGTTAAACTCTCCCTAAATCACTTGTTTGTTGGCTCTGTTGTCATTACTGTTTTTTTGTTTGTTTGTTTTTTTGTTTTTGTTTTGTTTGTTTTTTTGGTGAGGAACTGGGGATTGAACTCAAGCCCTTGCGCTTGTCAGGCAAGCACTTATTCTACTGAGCTGTCTCCCCAGCCCTCATTACTGTTATTCTGGGGAGCAGGAACCTATGGTAATCCAAGCCTTCACTTCTTGTCATTCAGTAGTGCTTTCTCTTGGAGCAATTTCCTTGGGAAATCATGGCCCACTTTGGCCTCCTCCAGGAAGTGTCTGTCAGGGCTGCACAGCCTGACCTTTCTTCCCTGACTAACCCCTCAGCCCCAGAGCTGAGGTACTTGCTTTTCCCAGAATGGATGAGAAAGTGAACTGACCAGGGCCTGTCAGATAGCTCAGCAGACTAGAGGCCTACTTTGGATTCCATCCCTGGCTTTCCGTGCTGGCCTCACCCCTGGAGTGCTCTGAGACAAGATTGAGACCAGGCATAGTGGCGCATGCCTGTAATCCCAGCACTTGGGAGGAGGAAAACAGGAGGATCACTAGGAGTCTGATCTGTGTAGTAGAACCTGTACTAAATACATTCAAAAAAGAAAGTGAACTGACCACCAGGCTGAGAACTCAGGTCCCCAGGTCTGCTTCCCAGCAAAGGAAGATATGAGATCCCACTTACACCTTCAGTGGTAACTATTTGGGGACATCCCTTTATGTGCCAGGCACTGTGCTGGGCCCCAAGAACCTAAGGGAACAAGACCAGATTCTCCTGAGTTTAAGAGGCTCATAAGAAGAGATAAGTTCCCTCAGATTTCTTTGTGATATGAACATCATAAAGGACATGATGAAGAACCCAAGAACTCACTCCCATAGCCCACTGGCTTTCTCCCAGTGTTCTTTTATCTTGCTTTTTCCTCTTATACTCAGCCCAACCTCGCTCTGCAGAGCGAGTTTCTCCCCAACACACTTTTACTTTCTCCAATAAACTCTGTCACTGTGAAAAGAAAAGAAAAGAAAAGAAAAGAAAAGAAAAGAGTACTTCAAGGAAATGCAAAGAGCTGTTCATAACAACAGAAAACCCTGCAGGCAGAGGGGTCAGGGGAGGCTTCCTAGGAGACCTGCCCTTTGCACTGGAGCTGGAAGGCCTGGCAGGCGCTCAGAGACGGCTAGGACAGCAGCACATAGAACAGACGGGGATCCTGAACCGCAGCCTGCCAGCCCCTCCCCGCCAGGCCCGGCTCACCCAGACTAGGCCGAGAGCTCCTGGCCCAGGTGCCCGCCCAGGTCGTGAGGGCGGGGCCACAGTCCAGGTGTGCAGCGGCGGAGCTTCGCGGAGAAAGGAAGTGTGTCCCCAGCGGCGGCCCGTGGAGCGCTCCCGCGAGACGCGCACCTGCGCTCCAGGTGAGCGGGGAAGGGGGCGGGGGAAGGGCTGAGCCGGAGGCGGCTCACCTGGCGGGACAGGTAAGCTTCGCGCGGGCCGGAGAGGGCGAGAGCTGGGGCGGCGCTAATGTGGGGAGCCCCTCGAGGCTTCGTCTAGACGGGGGAGGGCCCCGGGCACGGTTCCTCGAGGGCCACCCACCCACTTCCGGGGTGCGCGAGCCCGGCCGGGGAGCGGCCTGGGCGGGCGCCCGAGCTGGGCGGGCTGTGTGGGGCGAGCGGGCCGTGCACGCCCCAAAAGGTTGCGGGCTGGGGGCGGGAACCGCGCTCGCCCAAGCGGGGAGCAGTGCCCACCCCGGGGAACGGTGTCAGGACCCAAGAGCGGATGGAGGCCTGGCGGCTGGTTAGGGTGGTGCTCGCCCCGAGGGCAGTGCTGGCGAAGAGGCTGCGTTAGTCCTGGGGGACGTGCTGGCGTCTGGTTCTCCCATGTCGTTGGGATTAGGTACCAGCGGACCACAGGGTCGGGCTGCGCCGCTGGGGAAGAATGCGGGGATGTCGCGCGTCCCAGCCGGCCGTCATCCCATGAGCCAGGCTACACCTCCCAGACCGGTATTCGAGACTTGGCTGGGAACAGGGATGGACCAGATGGTAGTGTAGCCAGCCTGCCCTGGGACCCTGGGAGGAGGAGTACAGAGACCGTCCCCTGACTCATACTCACAAGGCTAAGGGGAAAAGGCAAGCAAGCGTCAGTGAAAAGGGGGAGGACTGGCACTCCAGACCCCGTGGTGCTTTTTTTTTTTTTTTTTTTTTTTAAATAGATATAGATTCACTGTGTATATCAGGCTTGCCTTGAACTCATTGTATAAACCTATAATGTCCTCAAATTCGCATCCATCCTCCTGCATCAGTCTCATAAGTGCTGGGATTACAGATATGCGTTACTACGTTCAGCCAGAGCTCCAGATTCTTGATATGAAAAGTGGATATGTATACTTAATTCACAGGGCAACTGTGAGGGTTAAATAATGTGAAAGTCTTCTTGGATTCAAGCCTGTTTCTGGCCCATTCACTGCTATTTTCTCAACATTTAGTATGTGCAGGGCCCAACAATAAATACACTGGATGAATTTAATCAACAGCAATGAGTCCTAAAGCCTTGGTGGTGAGAAAGAAGAGGGTGACCTAGCCCATGGTCGATGATTATTGCATCTATTACAAAGCCAGGCCCCTCAGAGTTCAGTATGGTTGAACTGTATGGATACTCCCACCCAAAGGTTTGAAAGGTGTATGATCTCACTCAAGCCTTTCCTGGGCACAGGCTTGTCCATGCAGCTGGCAATGTTGACTGCCCCTTTCTTTGCACATAACCCATATGGGGTAAGGTAGGGGAGAAGAAGGCTCTTCTTTTGAGTGCTTGGATAGATAATGGAAAGAGTATGGGGCAAGCCAGTTGGATACAAATAGAAGCGTGACTTTGGATAATTTAACCTTTGGATGCTTCAGCATGCTGATTACAGTACTACAAAAGTGTTGTAATTAATTGGCTTATTTCACACAGAGCATGCTGAAAAAATGTAAGCCATCGATGATTGCTTTAGTGTGCAAAATCCTGAAGTTAGGAAAATTTGTCTATTTTACTACTGTATCTGTAGAATTTAGAACAGTGTTTGGCACAAAGTAGGCCCTCAGTTTTCTTTTGTTGACATAAGCTCTAAGTTGTTGAGGCTGGTCTCAAGTTAGTGACCCTCCTGCCTCAGCCTTCTAGAGCTCTGGGATTGCAGGGATGTGTCATGACACTCAGCGGCTCAGTAAATATTTTAAGTGAATCAATGAGTCCATACCCAACCCTACACTGCTGAAACCAAGGAAAAGATTTTTAATCACATCCCTCCAGATTCTGAAGGATTTCAAAGTCACTTATTTAAAGTTCAGTTTGCACACCCTTGGAGATGCATTTTCATACATCCCCTCCTCCAAGACCGTTGGTTCCCACACTGGTCAGTTTGGGCCTAATTCCTTTTTCTTATTACCCAGTGGTCTTGGTTTTTATCCTGAAGACACATAGAAAGCTTCCATCCTCTGAAACGTCTTTTCGAGACTGAAACAGTAGGAGAACTAACACAGGCCCTGCCCCTCAGCCTTGATCCTTGGTTAGATAAACTTATCCTGGCACAGTGGGTGCGAGGCTGAGCTAGCCCACAGAGACCCCAGCAGAAGGCTATGGAGAAAGGGGCTGCCATCTGACTAGGGGCTTTTTCCTTGGAGGAGTGGTGAGCGGGACCAGAGGAGTGGTTTGAGTTCCAGGTCCTCTCTCTGCACAGTTTTGTTATTTGGTTGGTTTTGTGGTACTGGGTACTCAGCCCAGGGAGCACTGAGTTACATCCCCAGTCCTTTTCATTTTGATACCGTGACTTGCTAAGTTGCCCAGGCTGGCCTGGAACTTGCAATCCTCCTGCTTCAGCCTACTGAGCGGCTGGGGCTACAGACATTTGCTACTGTACCCAGCCAGTTCTAGATATTTGTTGGTTGGTTTGAAACATTTGAAGTTTGGTTGCAGGCATTCTACTCCTCAGTGCTTTTGTTTGTATTTTCTAAGAGTAAGAACATTATCTTAAATTATAGTCATCAGGGCTGGTGAGATAGCTCAGCAGCATAAGTGCCTGACTGGCAAGCACAAAGTCCCAAGTTTGATCCCCAGTACAAAAAAAAAGTAATCAAATTCAGGAAGTTTAACTGATATGTTGTTATATTATACAGTCTATTTTCTAATTTTACCAATTGCCCTGTTTCTAGGTTGTTGTTTTTTGTTTTGCGGAACCAGGGATTAAACTCAGGCCCTTGCGCTTGCCAGGGAAGCGCTTATTCCACTGAGCCATCTCCCCGGCCCCTCACAGTGCTGTTGTAGTCTTCTTACTGCATGAATCAGGAGGTACTTGATGTCCTTTCATCCCATATTGGTACTCTTAACTTTGATTAAAGTGGTGCCTCCTAGAACATTCGTGTGTTTGGGGGGTTCTTTGTTTTGTTTTATTTTTTAAGTTTTTACTGGCTATAGCAAGTAGGAGGGATTGAAACTGACCAGAATGAGAGAATTGGGGGTTTTGGATGAGAAAGGATGGTGGCCCTGCTTAGGGAAGTGGCATTGTTGTGCCCAAGGCTTGTAAGAGCCAGAACTAGAGCTAGAGTACAGATAAATTGGTTCCCAGTCCCTGTTCCTCATGCATTACCAGTTTTTAGGATACTAGTCTTATTAAGCCAGAGATAAAAGGACAAGGGATCAACATCTAAAAAAGACAAACTAGGGACAGCTACTGATTAAGGACCCTTCCCAGGGCAAAGCCTTCCCTGACTCCCTCAGGCACTTCCATAATGCCTCTAATGTCTCATATAGCCTACATATTCCTTTTTATTTCCTCCTTTTTTAAAAGTGTTGTTGGGAATGAAACCCTGGGCTTCACAGATGCAAGGATTGTTATATCCAATTCAATATAACATGATCCATCTTATAAACCTTCCTTTTTCTTTTTTTGCAGGACCAGGGATTAAACCCAAGGCCTTCACAATGAGCTACAACCCTGGCTCTTTTTTTATGTTTTATTTTTGAAGCAAAATCTCACTAATCCATTAGATTGCTCAGGCCTGGTTTGAACTTGCTATCCTCCCAGAGTGCAGGGGTGACAGGCACATACCAGCACATTCTATAAGCCTCTTTTGGGGGAGGTGGGGTAGGACAGGGTCTAGCTATGTAATTCAGCTGGCCTTGAGCTCACTGTGTAGTCTAAGCTACCCTCAAACTTACAACAATCCTCTTGCCTCATCCTCACAAGTATTAAGATTGCAGGTGTGCACCACCATGTCTAGCGTTTATAAGCTTTTAACTTTAAATCTGTTTTTCCTATAAAACCATGTGTAAATTGAAAGTAGCTGGGTCTGTACCCCATTCATCTTTGGTTCTGCACCAACTGACATACAGTCTCAATTTTCCTGTCCAACCAAAGGAAGCAAAACTACTTGGCGTTAAATGTTCTGAAAGCAAATCTGGTCAGACTGAAAAGGACCATTCCATGTCTGACCTGAAGGAAAGGGGTAATGGTCAGTTCCAAAGTGAGTCAGAGAGAAAGGTATTTGTTATATATCCTCAGGGGTTTTGTACTGAGCTTACCAACAGCAGAGAGAAGGCAGGGAGATCATTTTTCACAAGTAATACCTTAGATATTTTTAATGGTAAAATATACGTTAAAAGTACCATTTTTGCTTTGTATAGTGGCACATGCCTGTGATCCCAGCTACTTGGGAGACTGAAGCAGAAGGATTCAAGTTTAAACCCAATCAACTGAACAGTTCCGCAGGATCCTATGGGGGAAAAAAATACAGTGCTGGGATGTAGTTCAGTGGTACAGCCGCCTGGTTTCAATCTTCAGTACTGCTGAGAAGAAAAAAACAAAAACTGGGGGGCAGGGCAGGAATTGCTGTTGTAAGGGTTGGGTGATGTAGCTTAGTGGTAGAGCCCTTACCTGACACAAAACTAGCTCCTCAGCACCACTTTTTTTAAAAGTAGAAAATTCTCATTTTAATCTCTTTGTAAAACCATTTTTAAGTGTAAAGTCCTATGGCATTAAAAACATTTACACCATTATCTATTCCCAGAATCTTTTTATCTTTCCCAGCAGAAATTCTGGATCCATTGAACACGAATTCACCATTTCCCTCTTCCCCCAAGCCCTGCGAACCACAATTCTACTTCCTGTCCCTATGAATCTGACTATTCCAGATATCTCTAGAATATATTTGCTATTATCATAGTATCTTCAAGATTCATATATGTTGTAGCATGTATCTGAACTTCATTCCTTTCTATTGCTGAGTAATATTTCATTCTGGATATAACATATTGTTTAGTAATTCTGTTGCTTATGTTTTCACTTTGTGTTTATTATAAATAATGTTGTGAGGGCTGGCTAAGTAGCTCAGCAGATTAAAGCACGGGGCTGGGGTTGGATCCCCTTCCACCAACCCCGGGGGCCCCACCCCGGGGCCCCACCCCGGGGGCATGCTGAGACCGCAATTGAGACTGGGTGTGGTGGCACATCTGTAATCCCAGCTCTTGGGAGGCTGTAAACAGGCTGATCACTACGAGTCAGAGCTAGTAGCGAGACCCTGAACACCCTGTAGACCTTTCCCTAAAAATACAATAATGATAATAGTAATAGTAATAATAATAATAATGTTGTGGAAGATTGTACAAATACTGGTTCAAATCTCTCTATTCAGTTCTTCTGCATACACATCCAAAAGTAGAATTCCTAAATCATAATTCTGCATTTAATTTTCTTTTCCTAACAGCATTGGAGATCAAATCCTGGGTCTCACAAAGGCTAGGCAAGCAGTCTACCACTGAGCTACATCCTCAGCCTTTTATCTTTTTATTTTGAGATAAGACTCAAAGTTGTAAAGGCTGAACTTAAATTTTCAGTCCTCCTGCTTCAGTTTCCCTGAGTGCCAGGATAACAGGCATGTGCTACTACATTTGGCTAAATTTTTGAGAACTTGCCACACTGTTCTCCACAGTAGCTGCACTGTTTTATACTTCCACCAACAATGTACAAGGGTTCTAATTTATCTACATCCTCATTAACATTTTTTTTTAGTTTCTTCCCCTTTCCCTTCTCTTTCTTCAATAACAGGCATTCAGTGCAGTTCCAGGAAATTTAAAAATTATATACCACAGAGAAAAGTTTCACATTGGAAAGAATAGCATAGCAGATGAGAGCATGTGGGCCTCCTCGGCCCATCCATATTACAGGCCTCTGAGAAGCCGGAAGTCTGAAGCTCTTTAGGTCAGCCCAGCAGCTTGTACCTGACCTGTGGTCCTGGTTTCTCCCCTGCAGGTGCCTGGCTGCAGCAAACCATGCAGTGAGCCATGCCCCGGCCAGGACAGCCTCGCCCATCATCTGGGCCAGCTCGCTTAGGACCCTGGGACCAACCAACAGAACTATGCCTGGAGACCTACAGTGATCCACCCCAGCCTCCACCAGGCCGACGTACCCGTAGGCCAGACCCCAAGGACCCTGGCCACCATGGGCCAGAAAGTATTACCTTCATATCTGGCTCTGCCGAGCCAGCCACTGAGCCCCCTACTTGCTGCCTGCTCTGGCGGCCCTGGGGGTGGGACTGGTGCCGGGCTGCCTTCTGCTTCCGCCGCTGCTGGGACTGTCTCCAGCGCTGTGGGACCTGTGTGCGGGGCGGAAGGTCCTGCCTGTCTGCTGAGGACTCCGTTGAGGGGGCTGGCGAAGCTAACTGGGCTAAGGAGCACAATGGGGTACCCCCTAGCCCTGACCGTGTACCCCCCAGGGATAGCCAGCGGCTCAAGTCTACCATAGGAAGCAGCTTTAGCTACCCTGACGTCAAGCTCAAAGGCATCCCTGTATATCCCTACCGCAGCACCACCTCCCCAAATCTTGATGCGGACTCCTGCTATAAGGAGCCACTGGCTGAGCCCCCTCCCATGCGCCACAGCCTACCTAGCACCCTTCCCAGCAGTCCCCGTGGCTCTGAGGAGTACTACTCTTTCCACGAGTCAGACCTGGACCTGCCCGAGATAGGCAGTGGCTCCATGTCAAGCCGGGAGATTGACGTGCTCATTTTCAAGAAGCTGACCGAGCTGTTCAGCGTCCACCAGATCGACGAGCTAGCCAAGTGCACATCAGACACTGTGTTCCTGGAGAAGACCAGTAAGATCTCGGACCTGATCAATAGCATCACGCAGGACTACCACCTGGACGAGCAAGATGCTGAGGGCCGCCTGGTACGAGGCATCATTCGCATCAGTACCCGAAAGAGCCGCACTCGTCCACAGACCTCAGAGGGGCGCTCAGCCCGAGCTGCTGCCCCCACTGCTGCTCCTCCAGACAGTGGCCATGAGACCATGGTGGGCTCAGGCCTCAGCCAAGACGGTAGGTGGGGCCGGGGTGTGGGGGCACAGTAAGGGAGGCTGTAGCCACAGGAGGGTTAGACTTGGGACTCTGGCCACTGTGGTCCTCCTGAGCCAGTCCCTGCTCTTCCCCTCCTTCCCCGCAACTCCTGTGCAGCGGCTCACTCCACCTCCCACTCTGGTCCTTCCCAGTGTCTGAACCAGACTGAGGAGCATACAGACCCTAGAGGTTCTCTGGCCACTGCTATTCCCAGAAAAGACAAAGTTCTCTCCAGGTCATCAAGCTCACCCAACAGGTTCATTTTCTCTCCTGCCAGTTGCATCCAGACCTAGACTGAATAATCAGACCCAGGGGCCTTATGAATTTGGACTTCTGTCTTGGCTGGCCTAACCAAATCACCTACTTTCCTACCACCACACATGTGCACACAATCACTAGCATGAGCACATGCCCCCACTTTATCCTTGTTTAAACAGTATTTCTTTAGCCTGCCCAGGGTGAGTGGCCCTTCCCTCACTGGGTCTCAAGCAGAAATAGGGGTGGGGTTGAAAGGATGTGATAATGACCACTCCCTCTGATGTCCCCTCTTCCCCAGAACTGACAGTGCAGATCTCCCAGGAGACAACAGCGGATGCCATCGCCAGGAAGCTGAGGCCATATGGAGCCCCAGGTGTGGTCCTGACCTGATGAGGAGTGCAAAGGGTGGGAGACTACCCTAGGGCCCCCCCCCCCAACTCTTCCAGCTGCTGCTTGGGGTGGGTGAGAACGGGATCAGAAAGATTTGAGAGACCTGAGCAGCCAGAGATCCATTCCACTGCTGTAACTGGCTTAAAGCAAGGGGGCAGGTGTCCAAAATACATGCACTAGAAGTGACCCACCCACAATCTCTAAGAGGGGTCCCTGAGAAGCAAACTGCAATACAGGCCATCTAGCCTGTTGCTGCAAAAGTACTTGGTTTCTACTACTCTTCTGTGCCTTCACACTACCACCCTGGGAACCCTTTTACAGAGGCTGGGGGTCAGAGGTCAAAACATTGAGTCTCCCAGGCTGAATGAATGACTGACCACATTCAAGCCCTGCTTTATTCCTGCTCAGCAGGCTTCTTCCTAGCAGTGGGTCCCAGATGAGCTTTCTCCTCTCTGAGCCTTTGCTTCCTCCCCCTACCAGGGTACCCAGCCAGCCACGACTCATCTTTCCAGGGCACCGACACGGACTCATCAGGGGCACCCCTACTCCAGGTGTACTGCTAACTCCCTGCTGGGCCCAGCAGCCCCAACCCTCTTGGGAGAAGCATGGCCTACAGACTAGAGACGAGGATCCCTTTGGGGAAGGCCGGACCCTAAGCAGTGCTCACCCTGCAATTCCTGCCTTGGCTGACTGGTTCCTGGACCACATGCATTTCACAGGGTCACTGTGCCTACATCCCCTGCATCCCCAGCTGGCTTGACTCTTGCCTGAGCCTGTTCCTTCCTGTGGCCTGATCATGGAAAGGACTTGAGAAATTACCTTCTGGGATTGAATCCTGGCTCCATCCCTATGTGTTACCCTAGACACAAAACTTTAAAAGAAGCTTAAGTGGACTGGGTTGAGGATGGGCAGGGCCTCTGTTGGTGTTCTGTGCCTAGTACCCACTTGACATTATGTTCTGTTGAAGTTTGTTGTTTCTTGACTGATGTACATGTTAGCACAATAGTGTTTGCAAGTTTCAAGATAACAGATGCCCACCTGGTCATGTGGGCTACAGCACAGTCTTTTCTATCCCATCTGCCGTGCTTAACTATAGCCCAGAGCTGGAGGCAGGACCGAGGCAACCAGTGTGGCTCAGTGTTGCAGATGAAGTGGGAGCAATGTTGTCTATCGCAGGTTCACTATGAGTTCCTGGAGATAAAGGGCCAAGGGCCTATACCTGAGGAAGGCTCGGCAAGTGGTTTTTGTCACTACAGAGGTTCTTCCAGGGAGGCTTGTCTAGACTGTCTGTACCTACACACTGGCCTATTTGTGGCCATCTGTCAGTCTCCCCAGGTTCTTAATAGCCACTGTCCCCACTCCAGCTTAGAGCCTGTTGCTCTCCTTGGTGTTAACGCCAGTTTTGTCATCTGGGTCTTTCTAGTAACTAGAGTGGGAGCCTGGGGTTCAATGTCATGAAGTTAGTCATTTAGACCTCAAAGCTGACCTTTGAGCAGCCCTCACCTACATCAAGATCCTTCTTAGCTGCTCCTTACACATGTCTATCAGTTCTCTCTTGGAGAGGTTGGGGTAAGCCTGCCAGCCCATCCTCAACTGCAAGTGAACTGTTGAAATGATCAGAAATTCCCACTCCCACTTCCAGCCCTGTCATTTTGTTTGGGTGAAGTCTTTACTACAAAGCTCAGACTGGCCTAGAACTCAAAAAATCCTCCTGCCTCAGCTTCCATCTCCTGAATGCTGAGTACAGATGGGCACCCCACAGCAAGTTTTCATTTTTTTGCAGACTCACTGTAGCTCGAGGACCAAAGCTGCCTTTACAGTAGTACCACTACCACCGGCAGCATAATTTAGAAGGCAACCAACCACCTGACAGACTATGCTTATTCAGTTTCCTATTAGTGGCATAGGATGATGCCCTGGGGTCATGACCAGAGGAACCAGTTGTAGTTCCAGCAGTCTAACTGGTCGACGTCTAATCCAGTCAAGGCCTCCACAAAGATGAATTGCCCAGATTGGGGTGGGGCTTCGTGGTAGAACACTTCATCTGCACGTACAAATGTTTGATACTCAGCACCACTAAATAAACAAAATAACCACAGCTGAGTAGAAGTCAAACTAGTCAATCCACTCAAGCCTGGGCCAAAGAACACCATTTTCTAAACTGCTTTATGAACTACTATGTACATTCCCAGAAAAAGAAGACTGATCAAGCTTTGGAAAGACAAAGCCAGGTGCTGCTGTAACCTCCTGGCCCCTGTACTCAGTGACCTCCGCTCTGGCTAGAACAGGCCCGGGCCAGCTCTAGAGGCTGCATCTGGGCAGAGGTAAATGCCTCTGTGGCTTAGCCCTCCTGGGAGGCCTAAAATGTGCAGGAGTCCACATCACCTACAGTGTGCCTCACTGAGGCAGTCCTGTCTTCCTCTCCTGAGCTAAATATATCTCTCAGGCCTTGTTTTGTGACCCCAGGAAAGAGTCATTCATTTGCTTCAGGGCATTCATTTGCTTCAGGGCCCTAGAGACAGTAGGCAACTGTCTTAAGAGACAATCAAATCATGTCTAGCTGGTTTTAATTTTTGCTGGGTCACAGGCTCCCTTGAGAATCTAACATGTTTTAGTCTCTTCAGCCAGAATTCACCTCTCCCCAATACTAGGGAGACTAAAAGTCTTGTCTTAATCCTCCCTTAAATAATGGGAAGAAACACATGCACAGAGGGCAAAACAAGGACTTGTCCTGGGTCACACGGCAGACTCTTAGCTAGAAGTCAAATCCTAGCTTCCAGCAACAGACAAGAGCTGATCCCAGGGAAAGGCCACAGGGAGGAGAGGACACAAATGGAGCCGGGTAAATAGCTTTAATGTGTAACAATAGGCCTACCAGGGAGGACAAGGCCTCTAGGCCCCAGCCCTTCTCCCATGATGTCCTGGAACTCATGTACCTGGGCCAGTCCCATGCCTGCCCCAGCCCCGGGGCTCCCCAAGTCCCAGGGAATGGTGGGAAAGGAAGGTGGATGTCTGGGGGCTCAGCCCCAAGAGTTCAGGAAGCAAAACACAGAACTAGTTGAACTTGGCCTTGGAGAAGTCCATCTCTGGATGCTGATCCATGAACCTGGGGAAGTGGAAGTAGGAAGTTAAATGGGCTGCCTTTCTCCTCAAGCCACCAAAATCAGGTCTAACCTCTTCAGAACCCTAAGAAATGTTCTGGGCAAGAAAAAGCCCTGGTATCTGAGGCCCATCTGAGCCACTGGGGCTAGAAACAGAGGTGCCAACACTGGCACTGTTTTCTTAGGTGGCAGTGATCGCCTATTACCCTTGCTTTATACCAAACTGGCCTTGCCCTCGAGGTGACCTCAGCAAGTGATTATGATAAGCAAGCCAAGGTCATAAAGTCAAAAGCTTGGCTGGCTCATGCTGGAAATAGCGCAGGGAAGCTTAGTCCTGCTGAATGACTCACTCACTGCTGTCCCCCAGATCTAACCTCCCAGGCACCCACCCTCCTGACACCCCCCATTTGCAAGTTGCTTACTTTTTCAGGATCTCCTGTTTCTTCTGCTCATCCGAAGTGGGCAGCCCCATGGACTTCTGCCTCTGGTCATACATCATTTTCTCTACCATGCTCCGTGTCTCACTGTCCAGATCTGACAGCTAAGGGCAGGCAGGGACAGGGATGGGTGATGCTTAGGAACCACCTAGGACCCTCCCTTTCCTGCTGAAGCTCCCCCAACCAGCTAGGGCTAACCTTAGAGTTCTCAGGGTTAATCTTCTTGGTATTGATCTCTGGGTCACTGGATACCAAGCGACTCCACCATTCCATCTTATTGATCTGTGAAGAGAAGGACACCCAGGGGGACAGGAGGCGCTCACTTTGTGCCCCAGAAGTTACTTCTCAACCTGTGCAGAACCAAACTATCTCAAATCCACCTCCTGTACCTAAAACCCAAACAGGCGTGTGCTAAAACCAGGGGCACAGAGAAGCCAGACCTCTGCCCTCCCAGCAGCTGAGGTAGGCGGACCAGAGGCCAGTGGTTAGAAGTCAGATAAGGGGAAAAAAAAGTATAGAAGAGAGATGGTCAGTCAAAGTGTGGACAGAAGCTGGAGAGTGACACCGAGGATAAGCCTTAAAATATAAGCAGTATACAGTACCAGAAGACAAAAAGAACAAAGGCAGGAAAGAACATTCCAACTGGGAGGAAAGCAAGTACAAGGGCAGCCAGGTGGGCTGGGGCAGACCTTCTCTCCCAGGACAGACTGTCTCTAGACTCTTTACAGAGGGCCATGATTTACTAGTGTCTGTCCCACATCCCTGGGAAGGCAATGGAGAAGCAGTCTTAGAGGCTATTTTGCTTTTCTACGTTTTGGTCACTATTCTCTCAAGTCTTAGAAGAGCTCCTGGCACACAGAAGGTGTTCAATATGTGTGGAACTAAACACACGTGCAAATCTGATGGAAAAGAGGCTGGGCCTGAAACTATTCAGCCCTGCCCCTACCCGCTGCTGCCACCCATCTTACAACAGAGGAAATCTCAGCTCTTTCCTTAGTTTAAAACAAGGGAATACTAGTTTAAAAGGTCTTGCTGTGGGGATTATGTAGCCAAAGTCCAGATGGCCCCAAGCACAGCCCCGGTGAACAGCAAACCTTCCCACTGTCAGCATCCAGGCTAGGAGGGCAGGCCACACATACCTTCTCCAAATGCACAGTCACCACCTTGTTGTCCTCAATGAGCCAGGAGCTCTCCTCTACCTTCACCTCATTGTACAGCTCCCCATCAATGACTGCTGGCTGCCCCTTGAGTCCCACCCGGAGGTGCCGTCGCTGGATGTCCACCACCACATCCTTGCCCTTCAGCCGGAAGTTGACATGGAAGGTCACTGCTAGCTGCATGGAACACAGGAAGTCATAAGGGGTCAGTGGGAACTACCAGGACCCCAGGGCTTCTTAGCCCTTTACCCTGGCCCTAGCACTCACATCCAGCTCCGACAGGGTCTGTGTCCAACGGTAGTGGGGCAGGTCAGCCCCATTTCCTAAGTTGGGCTTCAGCTTCCCTTTGTCCTTCTCGTCTTCCTCTTCTTCATCCTCCTCTGCCTCCTGCTCAGTAAGTGGTACTCAGTTACTTCACAGACAGACTGAAGCCCCCACAGGGCCAAGCCCAGTGCTGACATGGAGCACATAGCCATAACAGGAAGCAAACCTGGTCAACAGACTCCCAGGCCGTAGTCCAGAGGAACCCAGACAGAGGTAAAGACTGGTTTTGATCTCTGCCCAGGAGTGCAAACTATTATACCACGTGACAAAGGACACAGCTTGGCCCCAGACCTCCACCCACCTCTCTAATGGTGCCTGCACAAGCACTGCCCTCTCTGGCTCTTGGACTTCCTGTCCAAGATAAAGGCCAGTGGGTTTTTCTGTCTGTTTTTAAAACACAAATCCATTTGTCCCATGTCTCTGAGTTGCATAATGAACTGTGGGGAGGATCCCCAAAGCCGGAGGCAGGAAAGGGGAAAAACATTCCAGAGAAAAAAGGGTAGGGGGCCTGGCCGTAGCTCAGGCCTTTAAGTGGCTGCTTCCACAAAGCTGTCAGCCTCAGGTTGCTGAAGTTCGAACCTCACACCTCTCCAGCTGGCCAAAGGTGCGCTGAAGGCATTCGAGGAACACACACACAAAAAAAAAAAAAAAAAAAGAAGAAGAAGAAGAAGAAGAAGGGTAGTGCCCAACCTCCTGGCTAGCCCTGAGGGCCTCCAGTCCAACTCACCTGCTTCCCTGGAGTGCCAAGGCTGCCATTTTTAAGCTGGGCCTCATGATTCTCTGCATCCTTTTTCTGTGGCAAAGTACAAAGCAGTTGGCAACAGGATACTACTTCCTAGTGCCAATAGGGCTCTGAAGGGTACAAGAAGAAAGCCTCGCCTCACCTTGTCAATCTCCAACTGGAGCCGCTCTGCCTCCTCATCAGTCAGCTCCTGGATCTGCGGCCCAGAGTTCTCTGCCTTGGCCTCTTTGGCCAGCCTGGCTGCCCGCTCTGCCTTTTCCCTCCGCTCAGTCTCCTGCCGAGCTCGTTTCTCCCGCCGGGCCTTCTGGGCCAGCTGGTTGTGCTGGTTAAAGGTCTGTGTGATGAGCTGGAAGAGGCAGAGAAGGCAATGAGACACAAGAGCAACGCATGGAGTCCAGGCTCATTTTTATCTGCTGAGTGCCAGGCAGAGCACTATATGTAGGATCTCTGTCCTCTCCCCCA